CAGTATTCTATACTATAACGTTGGGGTTATGTAGGGGTTATGTAGGGATAATGGAAAAGAACATGGAAACTATAACTATATAGGGGTTATAGGGGGTATATCATATGGGTGGTTGTCAATCTTATGGTCCCTTTTGGGTACCCTAAATATTAGGTGCCGTATTATAATAGGAATCCAAAAAGGGACCATCATTTTAAAAACCACCCACATAGTTTCTCTTCAACACTAGCCCTAACCCAGACCCGTGATTAATAAACACCCTCCCCTTAATAGGATTATAATAGGGATCCTAATATCAAGGCCCTTAAAAGCAGGGGGTTTATTCATCAGGGGTCTACATTACGTCCTAAACCCTAAACCCTAAGCCCTAAACCCTAAACCCTTATCAGCCCTAACGCTAAACCCTAAGCTCTTATCAGCCCTAAACCCTAAACCCTTATAAGCCCTAAACCCTAAACCCCGGGTTGCACCTGCTAAAGAGCTTGCTACCGCAACTTCCGCCTGCGCCAGGCTTGTCCTGGACGGAGTTGGAAGCATCCTCGCAGGAGGACCTGGACTTCTTGAAGCAGGAGCAACCTCCCGTGGGTTTAGGGTTTAGGGTTTACGGACTACTAGCTAAACCATTATAGAGTAAGATTATATCCTCCTTTTGGGGTAGAGTATTTTATATAAGGAATATAATCTTACTTGGTTTAACCACCAAGAAAAGCACTACTCCCATGTGTTATATAGGGACTAGTAGTAGGATTAAGGGGATGAACGGAGAATCACATGGAAAAGACAATAGAACATGAAAAGGAATTGATGGGTTTTAGATTGGTTTTAATCCACTCCCGCCTAGAAAGAAGCCCCCCCTAATGTTAAATACTCCCATTACGTGGTATATTATGATATACTGGGACTATTGAACATTAGGTGGGAACCCGTGGTTTTTTTGTCCGAACAGCAAAAACACAAAAAATGACATCACCGCCCCAACAAAGCTGTTTGAGCGGGAGGGTGTTTTTATAGGGCTCACGTGAAGCAGAGATGGGGGAAAGGGGCGGGGGGCTGTTTTCGTTTCCTGTTTGGGCGAGTGCATGGTTTTTTGTTGTTTTTTCTGTTTGGGCGGGGTCGTGTTTTTTTGGGTGTTTGGTCGGGGGCCACGCCCTTGCCCAAACAGCAAAACAAAAAACACGAAAAGCCCACACAGCAAAAACGACAAAACACACAATCTTACCATATTAGGCGGGGTGGGGGGGTTTAATATCCGGGAAGGGGATTAGGTAGGGAATAAGGAAGAATATGTTAGGATTACTCCCCCAGCCTTTAATCGTGGTATAGTAGGAATATCAGAGGACCCGAATATAATCCTTATTATCCCTTATAGTCACTATCATCACTGGGTGGGGGGTCCACCTAAGGAATATGGTAATTGTATTTTGAAGGAACTTAGAGATGCCAAGACTTAATTTTTGTGTTGGGGCTGGGGAATTTGAGAATGAGTTTCGTTACGGAAGTATCATTTTGTGATTTGTTTGTTTTTGATTTTGGCCGCTTCCACAGAGTATTTACGTAATTAAGGATGCTCTCTTGTATATGTACATGCACGGACTACGTGTGTGGGCCGTGGCCGGAGTTGTGTAGTGCCTACATAGAGCTGGGAATGTTTCAACATTCTCCTGAGAGAATTGACAATCCTGAATGGGACCTGCATGCTCCGCGTATACCCCCAGGGTCTTCATGACCCTAAACCCCTAAACCCTAAACCCCTAAACCCTGAACCCCTAAACCCTACCCTCTAAACCCTAAACCCTACTCTTGTTTGCAGAAACTGGTAAGTCATGTTTTGGCTACAGCACCTCAGCTGCTTCCTGTGCTGGGTTATCAGGAGCTTCTGCGTGGTCCTGGCATTGCAGAGAGCCTCGGCCTACTCCAGGATAATGGAAAAATGGAAGCTACTATCTAGGGTTTAAGGTTTAGGTACCCATTGGGGTATTTGGGGATTAAGGTTCAGGTACCCAGTGGGGTATTTAGGGTTTAGGGTTTAGGCATCCATTTGGGTAATCTTAGGATTATTTGGGGTAATCTTAGGGTTACATAAACGGGGGTCTTCCCATGATCTCTTCGTGATCCTCGGAAATCCCTAGGGTCGCTTGGGGCCCGATGTTTTGAGAAACTCCTGCGTAGGGTTTTCAGTTTAGGGTTGAATGTCAAGTTGCGTGTCCACATCTGGGCTTGGTGAACTGATTTCTGGAAGGGCGCAGAGAGAAAGAAACAAAAAGTCGATCTGTACGCTGCTAGAAACATGTTGGCGCAGGTTGGCGCCAATCGATCTTCATTTTCATTCACCGCCAAAACATACGATCGCCTCTTGCAAGGCCACATGGTATTTTCCCAAAACAGGCCTAGTAAAGACCCCAAAATGCCACAGTGCTCACTTTAGGGACCCCCGAAAGGGTACCCCTAAGTTTGAGAAACTAGCATATGTGCCTGAGCCACGCCCATGGAGGAAATTTGAAGTGGACGTCGTAAAGCCGCTGCAAAAACAGGCATTGGAGACGCCATGGGCCCAGCTGACAAACATGATATAGTATATTAGAGTATATTATAGTATATTGGGGTAACATTGGGATAATGTAAAAGAACATGGAAACTACAGGGATCATAGGGATTCTATAAGGTATAGGCAGAAACCTTTTTTCAAATGATGCCGTCCAGACATGCACGTCACCTCCGCAGAGTTTGACTGAATGTTGTAGGGTGCTTCCAGGACTTTACTCCTAAACCCTGAACTAGGGTATATGGGGGTTTCCCAAAATTAGGGGTACCATTTTGGGGGTCCCTATACTAAGGAATATCGTATTTTGGAGTGTATATTGGGGTCCTCTTATTTTGGGAACCTACCATATATTGGGGGTATATTGGGATAATGGAAAATACAACGGCAACTAGGTCCACGGCGCGTATTCTGCCGTGGGTTTTTAAGGACTTGCGCACAAGCAGAAGTTGAGCGTAGCAGGCGTTTGTGTGGGAATTTACAGTACTCCGTGTAAATGTACGATTTCTACCCCGTTTTCCAAGCAGAAAATGGCTTTCGCACTGTAAATTACAGGCTAAAGTGCTGTTTTCGGGGTCCGCGAAACTAGCGTCAAAAACCAGGTTCGTACTGTAAATTCCCACACGAACAAGGCGCGCAAAAGACTGTTGTTTTCTACAGCAGGGCTTCGAGTGCGACCAACAGCTCCTGGGGAGTAGTGGAGCCTATGGACTTTCTCCACATCCATTGACTAACCAGAAGCTGGATGCTCCGGTAATCGTAGGGACACGAACGTTATTATGATTTTGGCATGGATGCTCTGGTAATCGTATGCTTTAGGAACACGAAGGTTATTATGATTTTGGCATGGATGCTCTGGTGATCGTATGCTTTAGGAACA